TTTCTGGGTTCTTACTCAATCGCTTCCTTTTACCAGATTTTGAAAACTCCTTGGTTATGCTTCTTTTTACTACCAAATTTTTCAAATTTGGCCGGATTCACTTCGTAGAATTTCGCACTTTGCCGGATGAATCCTTAGATTTTACTGTGGAGACAAACAAGTTGGATTCCGTGCGTTCTGCAGTTTATGACTTCACATGTCCTACGGCGATAGGTGCGGGATCAGAACCAGTCGCCTTCGTGGTCCTGGGCACTTCACTGCCCGGAACCGCATAATTACCAGTTACGAAAAGACTGATATGATGTCGAATCCTCACTGGGCTGACATTTGGGTGATTCAGACTCATAATCAGCAACACAATAACACCGACCTCGTTGAACTCCCTCGCAACTTATAAGATAGCGTTTCTATTCAGAAACATGTGTATTTCCATCCCCACACCTTGACTTACAAACTGTAGCGTTAGAATAAGACTGATTTTTGGTGCCGTTCACGTCTCTAGCGTTGGATTGTTTTTGTTCAAGATAAAGTTGTAGTCATGTGCAGTTTTGTAAGACGTAGATTCTTTTTACAAGCAGGTAAGCGAACCTCCTGTGGCGATAGTTCTCAATCGGTGGAAGGAATGGCTCCCTGGGGGGAGAATCTCCCTTCTCAGGGGAGAGGTGTTTTGCAAGTGTTCAGGAACATGGCAGATTCCACATTTGGAAACAAACTATTCTGGACTAAAAGACGCATTTCACCGTATCATGTGCCTATCAATGAAATTTGACATGTCGCAACGACCGGTCACACTTTTTATGCATGTTACAGTGATCTCATATCTGCACCCGCTCTGCTCGTTTCGTGCACGTTGAATATTTATCCGACGCAGGCTGGGTTTCAAGCCCAAAACGCGCCCCGTTGAAATGTTTGAAAAAGCTACATCAATTCACTGTTTTCACTGTCGTGTCATAGAACACGTGGACAACAAATGCGAGTGATCATGTTAAAAACTAACCACCTTAATGAAAAATGTCACCTTCGGGACACCACTGTCAGTTGTATGCCGGAAACGTATAGTTTGCTTTTCCAAGGAAACGGACTTTATATGTCATACATGCGCTCCCCCCACCTGAGCATCTTCCTCCGACTAGGACTCTTCGTTTCCCAAATATTTTTCAGATAAGGGAATCCTACAGAAAAATCACCTTCAGATAGGTCACGAAAACTTTCACTGGTCACCTCTTTTGTATTAAAATAGAACATACAAATTACCATCAACAACTCCTGACCGTTATCCCCATGTTTCTGTAACTACGGAGCTCTCGTTCTGTGTATGTTGTATGTAATTGTATTATCAATAGGTATGTTGGACCTGCTGCATGTCGGTGCTCCTGAATTAGATGATGGATGATATTGCCGCTCTTGCCCTTTCTGCAGCATATTGTTATCTGGAGACGGATTTGCCCACTTCTCAGGAGCATACTGTTCAGAGCCGGTCATGACAAACAGGTGATTCATATGCACCAACATGGCAAATGCATACACCCAAAACTTAGCTACTTGTTGACACTGAATACTCTGCTCGGCTGCGTTTGCAGTCGGTTGCAGAGGGTCAGATGAAGGCTATGATGCAGTGGAAGCACGAATGTCAAGTAGTCGGATTGAAACCGTGTCGCTCTCGTTCGAAGTACAACCGCTAGACGGAACCTGGGTCCGCTAGAGGACATTTAGTGTGCAAAAAGCTTACGCGTTTGTGACCCGACCGCTTGACAGTCCTCTTCTCAACCCGTAAACAAACCTGCCATGACCGTCTGCGTGTAAATCTTAAGAGTGTTCGACAGAGTCTGTCTCTGATAGGCTGTACCTCATCAGCCACGATGTCCTAGGAACCGAGCTACTCTGACCGTCGCTTTCCACTGTGGTTGGGCTTGTTCCCAGTGGGAATTTTTGAAGGGGTATAACTTGGGCAAGACTGCTTTCGACGTTCTCTCTATAACTTATGTTAGGGAGAACTGTTTCAACTTCCATCCCGAGGCACCAACAACTTCTAGTGTGAATCCGCTTGTTTACGCTTTGATTTTCCTGATCTATCTATCTTATCTATTTGTTCTTATCTATCTATCTATCTATCTACAGGATTACAACAACTCAGTTGTCTTTCTAAAGTATCTGGTATGTACTTATTTAAACAAACTGCTTAGTGTAGTTTTCATGTCACACAGCCGACTGTAGTGATTGCATCCTACGTGCACTGTAGTTGATCTGAGTCGCCTAGTCCAAAGTGGTTTCCGGAATCCTCGGCTGCATCTCAACATATCGAAGAAAGATCGTGTCGTCATTTTTCGGCGTTCTGGCAATGGATAGAGTTTGTCTGTTTCTACTGCCGCATAAACCCGACATATCCCCCCATTTATCACCATCTTAATGTAGGCCAGTGGACTTTCTCTACCCGTTATTGTTGTTGTACTTCCCATTTTTGTGTTAGCTTTGCTGACAGCAGTTTGCCTGACGCTATGTTGCTCCACAGAAAAACACACGTAATTTCAATCTTTCCACTTCATGCATAGTGTGACCTTAGCAAAGTTGACTGGTGACAGAAAAACAAACAGTTGACCACAAACAGCAAGAACATTGCCATGAGAGGAAAACAGTGTACAAGTACCGAGTACTACCACGCGCAAGTTGATCTCAGTACTTGTGGTCAACAACAGTTTGCTTATCAACAACAAGAAACGTGGCACCGACTTCATTATACTTCCGCATATCACTCATCCACTCAACCCAGGGTTTGTAAGTTTGATCTCAGTTATGATGACGTATTTTAGATCTGTGACACACAGTGCCCACTCTGTTTCACTTTAGCCATTACTCAAAAGGTTTAGAAGCTTTTTTCTTTAATCGGGTTTTACTCATAACTTTATTGAAAACTCTTCGAGAAGCCCACACAGTTTTGTGCTTGCCAATTGAGCGGAAGAACCTAGTTTGAGGAAATTCGAACGATTCACTTGCTTACTTTTCGAGTTCCACATTGCCGCCACCTCAATGTGAAAATGAGCATCAGAGTCCATGTATGTTAATTTTCGGTCTGTCCCTTTCATATATAAGCTAAACTGGTAATCGGCTTCTCGCCGCTGATCTTCTAAACACTTTCGTAGCATTTTCTTATGCTATCTGCCTTCTAGAGCCTGTCCACTTAGCCCCCTTTTCCGGCACTCAGGAGACGATGCTATATACTGCTGTGAACCGATGTCAATCATTTTTGTGCTACTACTTTCTATCCAGCTTGGTGTTTGGAGTTGTAAGTGCCCAGAATGTCGCCTTCAGATTCCTATCCTCTCTCATTTAGTTGCGTTTTTTTGCTACGTTGCAGCGCTTCTATTGGTCGTTTGTCTTAAACGTAGCTGTCAGTGACAATACTGCTGCACAGCATGTGCGAAAGTAGTAGTCAGGCTATATTCTATTTCACGATATGAATAGCTGTTCATTAATCCAATGGTCTTGTTTTTATTGATGTGGTTGAAATCCGGATAGCTCGAGAGCTGAAGAGCGAACCGTGGTGGAGTGGTCCGTTGTTTGAGTTCACCCGTAACTCCCTGATTGTCCCTCTCCTAGACTAGTCTAGCAGTACCCCGATCCTCTGGAATCCATCGGGTTGTATGTACGCTTTGTTGCAGTTCGATCTTATTTTGGCTACACTGACTTCTTGATTGTCTTATTACTGCCTATCTGGCCTCATCAAGTTAGTTTTAAACTAATTCGATAACAATTTAACCATCACGAACACCGGCAGGATCCCCAACCTCTTCCAACAGGTTCATCATATTGGAACGTCGGGACATTTTGCTTTGGCGCGACAAACGCTCATTATGCTGTAAAGGTTCCGTTAGGTCTTTAGCCACGTCAAACATGTATGATCAGATTCTGGATAAGGAATGCAGTTACCTTCACTCTTCGAAGCGGGTATACTACTCTTTATTATGCTGGTGATCAGGCTCTTATTCGAACGTTTTCCAAGGCACAGTCTGCAGAATCAACTTCCTTCAATACCCTCTAAACGTTATCAATGGAACTATATTCCGGGCTACGGGCTGATAGTCCAAAAACTCCTTATGAGTCGCAGTCACCATGCGGTTGAATATATGTTGTATTTCCTTCGTGCTCCGATAGTGTATTTTGATCCTCTGGGACATCTGTGCGGTATAACTCATGCTTTTTGCTTGTCAATCTCATGTCTCAAGTAACTCACATCCTAACTTTGATGCGACCGTACTGAAAGAGAGCTGTGCAGAAAAACCTATTGGCTTCAGTCGTACTTCATCTGATCCATCCATTCTTACCGTGGTTTAGTGCTCTGACAACGCTTCTTGGTAAATGTTTCGGTCAGAGGTCACCCAAATACGGTAACACACTGCGTACTTCCTCATCCTGTGGCTGCAGATTCTGTCTGGGTTCTTCAGCCACATCTCACCTCGTACTTTGTCCTTCTAACAGATGGTATGTCTAGCGCCACTGCCCCCGTCGCTGCTCATTTTTCCTACATTGCTTGTTTTCTACGGCTGGTAATTGGTTTTTGGGCGAGGATTCGTTGTTTTCCAGAGTTCAGTCACCTGTTGGAAAAACCTGATTGCTATCGCCGTCTGTTGGCGGCAGTTCAAAAGAAGCACACCTGTCGTAACATGGGCTTTACCGCCAGTGCCGATGTAAACGTTAAAATTTGAACGCGGAAAGCTGATTTTGCGCTCCCTCCAGCTGCTTTTGTCTATGCACAACGGAGATGGCACCATAATGAATTCAAACAAGACGATAACCGTCATGGTGCAATATTTTTGAATGTGTGAGGTGCCCCCGGTTGAACCTCTTTCATTCGCCAATAACAATTCTGCTCTAATTTTCTTAGCTGCTAATTACCATACCGCAAGCAAAGTTACCGTTTCTGATGAGTAAGCTTCAATGGATAAAGTAGGGAATAGAAAGAAAATTGTCTCCATCGTTCTCATTGGTCCATTTTTTGAGAAACCTTACTCGAAACTTGTTGTGTGTACATGCGTTTCGTGCTCTTCAATGGTCGTGTTAGTACCGAAGCGGTCCAATTCCTGTTGACAGCCACATCTATCTGAAACGGGAAGAATGCCTGCTGAAACATTGTTCCTCTACCTTTGCTTTCTCCAGATTGACTGTTATTGATTCGAAGCGGATTCGAAATAATTCATATCCATAGTTTGGGTTTCCTGACTCTCATTTTGTGGTTGGCGTCTTAGCGAAATCTCGATTATCAAAATGTATCTATTCCTTGGTACCTGTTGCCAAATTTGTTGTCATTGCTAATAAAAACGTCGCTGATTCTTCCCCGTTGTGACTTTGGACGAGCTGGTTTCGACAAGGATTTCTGATTAAATTTGGTAATCCTGGAATTTAGGCACTGAAGCCAGCACTTGTGAATACCGGAAGAGGATGACTCAGATGGAACGGGTCAAATGTTTGTCAGATGTCACAATAATGGTGTGGCGGCATTCTCCATACTCTTCATTTTCAGCACCGACTATCTCCAGAAAACATTGCTACCTACCCGGACCTGCTTATTCGCATCCAAAATGCCTGGTTTTTTCTATGAGACGGACATGGTCAGCGATACATACCGATACTTCTGTGCTTCTATCCACGGTCTAGAAAACGAATACAGTTTGCATTCACGGTCGAGGACGTTTACACGTGACAGGCAGAGACTAACTAACACTTATTTTCGGTCACTAGATGCCTCAAACGGGTTCACTAGTGACTACCTTTCATCGAGGACGATTGCAAAACATAAAACACCTGATAGTTACGTGATTAGCTATGGTGTAAGGTTGTTCCTTCTAAATATGCTTTGCTCCCTTCGCATCACTCAACAGAAATAAGCGCACAGGTTCCAAGCGATTTTAAACTCAGGCTCATCCAAACTGCTTAAACCATAGTTTCTCGCTTATGGCGTCAGGAGCGTAAACTAAAGATTTACTTTGTAGTGTGATTTACTCAGTCCTCGTTCTTCCCCGTCGCTACAGGCAGGGACAGGGGGTGGTGCAGTGGCTGATGAACACCGCGATTCACGAAAGATCGCCCGAAAGAAATCGAACCCCACTCTGTCCAGTGCTCCGACCTCTGCTGAAGCACCGACACCAGTAAACGAGGGTACCGTCCGTCACTCTGGGAGAATGCCTGGTCTTTCTAGTGAGCAGCAACCACAACAGTCCAGTGCTTCTGCTCCATCTAGACATCGTCGTGGTGTCCAGCAACGGGCATCCTCTAGTAACTCCGCCGATAGCAAAGAGGATGATGATCGACTTTCGTCGGGCTCAAAAAAGTCCAAGCGTTGTAAGTTCTGAAATTTTTGTCATTTTAAGCCAGCCTCATTGGTACAGTGAACCTTTTATCGTAATGCCTGGACCTTCGGTCCACATCCTTCATCCTTGGCGTTGTGTGGGGGCAAGATGGATCAGTGGTTAGAGCGCGAATTTACTGATCGAAAGGTCCGTGGTTGGAACCCCATCTCTGCATCTTATCCTCTCTAGGCTTGGACAATTTGGCAATATCCCAGCCCTCGTGCTTCCTTCGGGTGGCATGGCAGCTACGCAACTAAATGGCGTTACATCGGTGCAATTTATTTTTTTATTTATCCTTGCCGTTGTGTACCATATAGGCTAGCTGATATCGGTTTATTCGGGTTGTATTTTCTTTGTTGAACAAACATGACCTTCAGCTATTCTCGAGCTTGCATGCATAAGGCTGAATCAATAGCCTGTTATTTAAGACCAAAAACCTATCATTATTTGCCCTTCTTAAACTTAGGGCCGTCCCACTGAGCTTGAAGATTTTACCCGTGTTTATTTTCGCCCTCAGTCAGATTTCGATTCACGATGAGATATCGAGGAAACTTGTGTTCACTGAGGTGTCAGCTACTGCGCTTGGAACATACTATATAGATGAGAGCGTTGTCTTCCATCTGATGTCACTCGAATGAAGAAGATACTAGACAGTCTTTGTTATCAACACTTTTGGCCATCTGGGAGGAAGGCGCTGTGGATCGATGTCGATGGCGTTTGTGCTGTCCGTTTTCATCCGGGCCCTCAGATTTAGTGTTTGGAGGTGTGCATATATCAACGTTCGACCCCCTTCTATTTTAGTTTTGATTTCTCCAGCATAGAGCTTTATCCCCATAAATTGGCATGCTTATGACCAAAGTCTGGCGTTATTGTCAGTCATTGATCATAGTTCGCCCTGTCTCTGCCCTGCATCTAAATGTCAGCGTATTTCACAACCTGCTCCCATTCCACGCTCCTAATCCTCCTAATACGTCCCTTGTCATTTTGCGTCTTCATTTCAGCGCACCATCATCACCACCGGCACGCAGCTGATTCAACCGGCGACTCCTCACCGCAAACTGCTTACGCGTCCACGGCATCTGAACAAGTGTTACCTGGCAGCTTCAACCGGCCCAACCGGAAATAAGGTCGGCTAATATCGTCAGTGTGGTTAACGATGGATTACTAACCGTGTATGATAGCGTTCTTTCCCTGTTCAGCATTTTTGAACCGAAATTCCGTACGGCTCTGCACTTCCTTGCACAGTCTCGTCAATATTTTTTCACGCCTATCTTTTTGTACAGCGCTGTCACATTAATCCCTGTTTACCCGTCATTCGTGGAATCTGTTCGCTCCCACCGCAGTTAGCAATAAAATGTGTAATTGCAGTTGCATTTTCTGCTCTCCCATTCATCGAATGTCATATGTCGTTGTGCTATACAGAATTGAAGCGGACCATCCTTGTTCTGACATTTGGGTGGATTACGATAGGCACAGTCAATAAGAGATTGTCATCAATATCTTTGTAATTTACTACTCATAAGGTTGCTGAAAATCCATCGACAGCCCACGACCGGTTTCGCCCTTCTTGGGGCTCATCAGGTAGGCGCAGTCCCCAGGTTTCCGTCAGCCTTATGTTCTACTTGAAATCAAATTGCACGAAATTAGCGAATATACACTCATTTGCAAACTAATTTGGTTCTTTCGAGAGACCATGTATCGCGATATTTCAAATATCGTACCGACTGAAACATGAGGCGGCCTGGTGCGGCACATTCAGTTGCCTGAGAACATCATAAACGAGAGATTCAGCTGGGTTCCAGGTGAGTCTCTCGAAAGAACCAAATTAGTTTGCAAATGAGTGTATATTCGCTAAGATTGTTATCAACTTTTTCCGTTGGATTCCGCGCCCATCTGACGCGTGGGCGTGACCAGATTGTGGCTGCAGTCAGTTTGCCGTTGACATAGACGTGGTATTGGTTAGGCTACCTGGATATCCACGATTACCTACATTGTTCTGGTTGAAAGCATAATTTGGTGTTCTAATACATCTATGGGTTTTTACCTCTTTATGTCGTTGTAACAAACAGCATCGTCTAGTTTTTAGCAACCGGGAATATCTTGACCCTTGTGTTTCCTTCCGGTATCACAGCATTTATGAACAGAACGAGTTTTGTCCCCAACGCTGATGGTATATTGGTTGCTACCATCATGAATTATTCGTCTCGTGCATCAACCGTAACTTTTCTGGAGTCCATAGGTGCTGTTTACCGTTGTTTTCTGAGTAATAGTTATATTCCGGAAGATAGTTATTGTTTCGGCTAAGCAGAGACTTCGATCCTGATCGATTAATTAGTTAAAATTCATTCAGGGAAAACATTCCGGGGAAGTTGGCACTGTCAGTGAGACTCGTGTGGAATCAGGCAAAACCAGTGCCAATGGTAACCTTACCTTAATGTGCATGAGCTCATGTGTGTGATGGCTTCTTCCATTGCATGACCACTGCCGTACGCTCAAACAGCTTTAATCTGTGTTAGCCTGTTGATGTAGGGGAGCAATGCCTGGCTGCTTATGTCGAGCGGCTACCTAACAGCGGAGTAACGCTTACGCACTTGAGCCCAAACCTGCTTTGCTAGCTGATCTTGTGTATTAAATTTGGGCGTTCTAATTCGTTGCGCATAATCACCGGACTACCCTGAGGTTATTGCATGAACTATTTATTTTGTCAGTAGATTGACTTAGGGATCAGTCTTGGTAATATGCACTGAAATAAAAATCACCAATGTGTAAACTACTAATGGGCAGCTTTTGGTGAGCTATTCAGGTGTACTCGGGGGCCGTCAGGCGTTTTGGATCATAGCGGTTTGATCCTATATGGTTGTGAATGGTTATACTATCCGAGTCACGAATATGACGCGATTATTAGTAGTAGATTATTCTAACAGTGGCCACTTTTGTGGAACACGTGAGTCACTCATTCGTGAGTGCTGGCTGTGAGTCTCCGTAAAGGATAAGAAGACGTAGTCTTTTTAAGACTATTTTAGAGCATGCTTTTTCTATATGATCTTGTCGTATATTTTAACCGAAAAAGGGTAAAGTGGCCCCCTACACCGCCTTCGAGTAGTGCAGATGCCACAAGCATATGGATATATCGGGGTGGGGTCGATGCTGTCCTAATTCTTAGGCAGTTTGTTGAACACTGGCAAGCAAATGAGCATGGTGAACTCGTGTACCAGGTCTATGTTAGACGTTTCACTACTACTAGAATGAGACAATCGCACTGCATGGAATAATTTTCGGGACAATCCGTCAGCCTGTGAATTATCTCTTTCAATCATGTTACTTGTGTAGAGATTTCGAATACACTCGCCTTTCCAGGGGGCTAGTGTCACGAATCTCCAGGTTGATTCGAACCCACCATCTCTTGGCTCATAAGTTGAATACCTAACCGTTCGGCTATGAGTACACTGATGATGATTTCAAATAAGGATGGAATAGCCTAGAATGTTTTTGGCATAGATCGACTTCATTTATAGGAGGAAGTCTTGAAAATTCCGCAATATTTGCCCCGACCCCTTAAGGGGACCAAGCAAACGTAGTTTCTTTTGTAAGACGGAGTCCTTCCAGGCGATCTTGACCGCTGAAAGAGATAAGTGGTCGCCGAGCGCTGCAGTAGTCTTGCGCCTTACAGATGAAGACACGTTAAAGTGCCGTGAGTCACTTGGGCGGACCGGTTTTATCTTCTTGCCACCTGTCAGACAGAATTGGTGTCAGAATACGTGAGACCTCAGTGGAGGAATTTAGTAAGGTGGCAAGGAATCTTGAGCCGCGGGAGCGTTTGTGGCGATCCCTGCTGATAGTTAAGGGACTATTTCTCAAAAGTTATCGATTTCAGGCCCTCACGGAACCTGAAGGGAGTAGCTCTAGCTTGGAGACTAACTCCCTGCGGCAACCTATTGGGCGACACCGTGTTTTCACGAATGTTCTCAAGGTGAAAATGTGCACTCCTATCCTAGTAGGTTCTGTAGCATATCTGATGGCCGGAAGGTGCTCGATAGTCGTGTGGCCTGCTTTACTATGAACTATGAAAGGAGCATGGTGACAAGGTTAATAGTAAAGTGAGGGTGTCATTCTACATGAAAAGGCAATCGTTGGAAGCTGGCTAATTATTGGTCATCGTCTGCTTTCCAACCCTATTTCGCTCATTAACGATCTTTACTCCTTAATGCAATAATGTGTATATGATGATTCCAACTGTACTGCTCTGCGCAGCAGGCTGGACAAAAATAGTTCCCTAGTTTGATGGTATCCTCCACCGGCAGAGCTGCTGACGTCGGCCGTCTAAGCTTGACTGTTGACTGAGAAGCCATTCGTGACAATAATGCTGTCCGTTACCTTCGTCGTCTTTCGTGTTCCAGGCAAGTCAACCACCTCGAGAAATGGAAAGCGTTTCTTGTTTGGGTCATTCCATGACGAGAGACTGCACATGAAGGAGTTTTGTAAAGTGAACTGTCTCGTTAATGAGCGCTCATCCTCATGAAGAGCTCGGACGACGGTAAATGGGCCTTGGGATCTACGTAATCCATCAGTGGTAATATGCTGTTTAATGAGCCTGATCACTGTCATGGATGCTAACGCCGATGCAGGCCTTGTTTGCCAGACGACACTGTTCTATACGTTAATGTGTCCGACGTTTACTGTGTTTCTCTCCCCATTCTGTTCATCTTTGACTGGCTCTGTCGGTTGAGACGCGTGCACTTATTCAACAATGCTCGATTTATTGACATTTTGAAATAATAGCTTCATGTTGAATGGACACTTTACCTGCGGTCATGGCGGCTTATTCGAAAAAAGAGGTTCAGTGAAATGGGGTTAGGTGCCGTTCAGAGGTCGCCGTTTGGTGCCAGCAGCCGCTGGATAGCGTAAATCAAATGTGTTTTCACAGCTACCATTTAGCGGACTATGAGCACCGAAGGGTTGTTTGGGGACGTCAATTCGTGAGAGAGAAAGTCGATTACTAGGCCTTGTTGGCTCAGAGTGATTGTTTTTGTTTTCCTGACGGTTATGTCGATTATATCCCTGTGGCCGACGCAGAATAATTGATCACCTCTGGTTCATGAACCGCCGTCAAAACACCGAAGCAATTAAAGCCCCCACTAATCGCCCTGTGCTCACCCGTTTCTCTCCCAAAAAACTAATAAAACTGTTTTCGCTGCAGTTGTTTAAGCGACTGTAGTATTTACATTCATATCACTCTCGTTTGAACAGTTTCTACTGCCACTTTCTCTTTCCTGTTTAATTCTGACTCACCAGAATAATTGTCCTAGGGTAAAAGGAGGACTATCCGCAAAGAGGGTGATGTGGTCCGGTGAAAAAATAGTCTCCCTGCACTGCTTACAACAACGCACATTGCAACAAGTCTGATGAGAATTATACCTGAATGCGGTTTCCCGAATCCCATCGAATGCCGCCAGTTTATTGCTTTTCTGTTTTGCCCACTTTATCTAACGGGGCATCATTATATTTGGCGAACAGGTCGTTGTTTTTTATTGCTGTTTCGCTTATGGCCAGTAAAAATCCACATGAATGGGGATTTATTACCGAAGCATTCAGCAGTCCTGACCTTAATATGAATGGTTTGAAGATTCACGCCACACGTACAATTATGATTTTTTCCTCTAATCCACGGATCAAAACCCATCATGGTATTTGTAAACGAATCGTGGTAGCGCGAGAATAACAACTCAGAAGCTATTGATGTTACTTATTTACGCACGAAGGGCAGTTTCAGCAGGACGTCGAGAGAATCGATGGTTTATGGAGACTCCGCAAGTTGTGGTCGTCTTGTAGTATGTAGTACGTATGTAGTAGAACGTTCGAGGCGTTAGAGTCGTACGAGTTTTTGAGTAGAAGAAAGTAAACATGATTATGAGGTGATAATGTGAGAGACTCAGGTTATCGAGAAGTGCAGTCAATATGGGTGCTTTATCATTGTGATCTTCTAATCTGCGAGGAACTGAATTCCTTCTCAACTCGTAACATGATTTTTGCTCGTCCTTCTATCGAAAAAATGCGCTGGTCCTATCCGCCAGCAAGAATTTCCGTGGCAGATCTGTTAAATACTAGCTCATCCGTTTACGTACTCTTGGCGGAAGGTAGATTTCGGGTTGAAAGACTAACTGGTAACTAATCTGAATAGATGCTACTTTATATAATGTATGTGCAACATACGCAGTTCTAACGGACTGACAAACCAAGCTTGTCAGTGTCTGAATTAGCGCACAAGAATAACAAATGAAACACTTGGATAGGCGTATTGCGAAGTAAAATCAAATGCCTCAGCGGAAAACCAACGCAGCTAATCAAACTCTTGGGCAAATCCCTTTTACCTACGTGCTCCATGGGTTCGAACCTGCGTTACCAATATTCATTTCAGTTACAAACGTTTCGATACTACCTGTAAGGGAGGGGAAAGTTCTGAGCTTCGTCCTTTTTGGGACTTACTTATCTGGTAGCCTTATTTCAACTGGAATACCAAACTTCACGTATCTTGCAATAAACATTCATTTGAGTTCAGTGTCGGTTGCCTAAAATCTGACAGTATATAGGAAACCATGACTTGTTTATAAACCACTCACTTAAGTGAATAGTCGACTAGAATGCGAGGGTACTCTGAGTTACGGACTCAGGTTATCATGGAGTATGTGTAATGTATGTGGTGTTTTCGAATTCAGATGTTCACGGCAAGGGAGACCCGAAGAGTAAGTTCCCACCCACCATTCCTCGTTACAAATAACGTTAACAAGATCGCTTATCCCTTCTCATGCTTTTGTGCAGTAGCGTAGGTTGGACAAGTAACAATGAAATTCCGTGAGAAAGGAAGTTAAAGTCTGACGAAACAGCTGGCTGTCATCAATTACTAGTCCGATCGGCCAACACTTCGTTCATCCACCGAGACTTCTCGGTTCATTCTTATGACGAAGTCGAGTCGATCCAGATTGATACGGTCTAGTACTACTGCTGTGACCAAAGGGATTCCTACGAGGTTGTGGCTCAAAGTTTTGTGCTGGTACACTTGGATTCTTAAAGTTGAACCTATTCCTTGGCTCACACAAGCACAGCATCCGGCATGCCCTAAGAATATTTTTCAAATAATTCGGTGGTTATTAGCCTGGCATTTATTGACATTCCACTCTGTTTATTCTCTGTGACCATTCTGAAGCCGTTTTTCAAAATTCCTGTTATATTTCATTATGGAACGAAGTTCATCTCCAGTAACGGGAGTCGGAGCACACCCAAACGCTACTCCGAACCCAAACACTGAAAATATAAACGTTATTTCCAAATCAATCTGGATTCACTTATGAGCACCTTTGCACACCGCCCTCTTTCGCGTCCTTGTGTCTAGACGACCGCTTGCGATCATTTCCGATAGAGGTCGCTGTAAAGAATTTCATTTGACAGTTATCAGTCGGAACCTTTAAAACTGAACTGTCGGACAGGAAGTCGCCGAAGAAATTGGCGTCAACGTTCGTATATATTTTTCATTTGACGGGAGACTGAAGTCGTTGTCTCGTGAATCTAGGAATGCTGCGGCAGAATACGGTGATTTTTTTCAGAAATCAACATTAGTCTACTTACTAGAGAATGAACTGTTCTTCACTGGAGTTACACTGGGCCAGTATTCCTACCAGACATTGGATCAAATAACTAACTTACTTACGTAACAGTGGAAAACGATATGGTGGAATGGAACGTGTGTTTTGTTCAGCCTACAATCCAATTTCCTGCACTCAGACCACTCATTCAACTCGGCTTAACTTCTTTCAGGGTTTGGGTTACTGCTAAATCCAAGCAGTTCGTCGAGCATATTCAGAACCTTCATCTGTAGAAACTTTTGTTTCACTCCGAATGCATCAATGATAAACAAGGGTTTCGTTACCGGATGTAGTTCAACGTTAAAAAAAAAAAAACTATCCACAACACTTCAATTCAGCTCTCAATACAGTTTTCACCATACCTCACCGTTTCCTGCTTCTGTACGAAAATTATCAACCAGGGAAATCCCGTTTCTTGGCAGTACTAAATAGCCGAGGACCGCTGTACAACATAGATTGGCTTCAACTACAGGACGCAATATCAGTTGAAAATTTCAAAATCTCGCACCACTAACAGTCTACAAGTAATCTAGGAGGACGAATAATCCACACGATGAGCCTTCCATCGGAGAAGTTCTTCCTGGAAGAAATACATGATGTGGATTCCGTGGCTGGACGATGGGTGGTGCCATATCCTGAGTGCAAGTAAATCACACTGTTGATCAGCTGCTCGCTGCAGAATGGTTAGACGTTCAGACTACTAACCAGGAGGCCGTTGGTTCGAAACTCACTGGAGTTTCGTTAGCTACACACTGCTGATGATTCCCATAAAGGATGAAACAGCTGTACCGTGCCTTTTTTGAGCATAGATTGGCTTCACTTACAGGATGAAATCTAAATTGAAAACCCCATTTGGTCATGGTAGTCTGGCTGCTTACTTGAAGAATCTTGGGAAAATCGTAATCTGCTCAGGAATGGCTAGAATTTTATACTTATTCATGCAATATTTAAACTCGCTTACCCCGACAATGGTCGAACTTATCGCTTCAACATATGACCTTCTCTGTCAAACTCGTCATACTAACACTACTATTGTAGATGATCATTTCCGACACGTTTTGGTGTCTGAATGATTGTGAGTTATCTGTGATCAGCTGGACTGCTCAAAATACTGCCTCAGTCTTCGATCAAAGCTAATCGGAATCAGAGTATTTTCTGTGCTAATGCTGTCTTCTTCTCCGATGCTGCAATCCGCTTGGATGCACTTTTGTGGAAGGTTCACGCAGCCAAGGCTTCCTGATTAGATCCATCAACAATATCGGTGTAGTCTGTTAATCCCAGTCTTATAAATACACAAGCCAGCTTGTCATGCAATATGCATAAAGTCATCAAACAGGCATCGTTAAATTTGCCTCAGAGGGGTGTATGATCTAATCAAGCTTGATCCAAAAAAAATTTCCTGGCTCAGTTTTTACCACCATATACCGAGCTGGCCCTGGTCCCGTTCTAACACGCCGCAATCGGAATTCATATTTATGCGCACTCTCAGCTCACTATGCTTATTCAAATACGTCGTGAGGAATTTCATTCCCGTACACCACCTGACACACTAAACCTGATGGTTACAACAATAACATCAATAAACATTTCCAGTTCTTTAGTCCAGATTAAGCTGCGCCTATGGTGAATTTACCAACCCGAGACTTTAAGATGGCTAGGTAATCGCCAGATATTCCCAAGAAAAATTTTGGCATACCTTCCGATCAGTGAGTTCCTGTCTCAACAAGGGAGTGTTCTTAAATCCAAACTTCTGATAAACCGCTTTTGTCATGCGATGAGGAAATGATGTTACATGACACACGTATTCCCACGATAGGAGGCCCCACAAAAATCAAGAAACTGTCCAGAATTCCTTCCAATTATTACCAGACTACAACTCCTCTTTGGATCATAATAAACTGACAGATAATCAAGTCACAACAACAACTATTCAGGCTCGAACACATTAACTTTGAAATCATGTCACTTTCATTCAGATATCAATTGCACTTTAAGTATAATGCTAGGCATGACCTTGAGAAAAGAGATAAAAAAGAAAATAAGAAAACGGAACAAAATACCACTTCAACCTACACAAACTGTGAATTACCTATAACTTTTCAAAAACCAACTTGCCCGGTCTAAATTGCAATCAACCAGACGTTCCAAACCACAGGTTTTGCTCCGAAACATCTGTGTTCTAGACATGGGTCAGCACCGCTAAAAATATGCAGGTGTGCTACCGAACATCCCTTCTAGCGGCTGTCGTGTTTTATGAGGTGGAATTTACTGCATCCAACATCCGATTTGTCAGTACGTCTAACGTCACTGTTGTGAAGTTTCTGGTATGCAAATGGCATCGAACACGGAAAAAGTTGAAAAATCCTTGTAGAAAAATATGTTAGCAGTACATGAGAATTACTGAACTGAAAAATTTGTTCCAAATGTTGTTTTTCAGGCCAAAACTACTCCGTTAACCAAGTGGCTGGACACATATGAGTGTTCTGAATGAGAATTCGCCGTACGACCTCGAATCAAAGAATGTAGTATAACTGATTCCTTGTTTGCGCTGATAGTGGCTCCCGCCTTTCTGGTGTAGTACTCTTCAGATGCTTGGCTAACGGAAGGAAGCACGAGGACTGAGAAATTATTAGGTCTCTTAAGCTGAGAGACGAGCAGTCCAACTGTAGAATTCGGGTTCGAACCACGGACCCTCTGATCTGCGAATAGCTGCGGATTTTAATGACGACAGGAAGTTTCTATTCAATTTTGTCGTCCACTGCTACCTTGAAGAGGCGCTTTTTGTACTAACGCTTTGCTTATCCTTTGGTCCAACTTAATGAAGCATGAATAGATTTGTATTCAAGCCGTAGCCGAATGAGCACTCGGCTGTCTTGTGCATGAGACCTCAATAGCTTCACCCCGGACCTCAGGCCCCAAAACATGTGGTGATAAAATACGAATAATAGTGCTAAATTGACCGACATATTTAAGTGCAACCCATAGGAATGACCCAATATGATATATTTCGATTATGGCCCTTGTACATATGTTAGGGTGTCCGAAGAGTGTTGTCAAGTTTATTTTTTGTTATTTACTCGAGCGTACTTGAGTAGATATTCAAATCAGCCAATGCTTTTGAATGAAAGTCCTTTTCACGACAGCAGCACACAAGCTAAAAGAAGACAATAACATAGGGATTATTCTTTGGTTCGGTCCTTAGCATAACCACCTGTTAACCAAATCAGAAAACTTGCATACTGATGGCTAGTCCGACTGACGGGACCAATTGCAGTTGGTTGCTTGTTCAAGATGTTGACCGGACTATTCCAATGATTCTCAAGCTATCTTTCAACCAGTCAGATTTTGAATGGCATTACTGAAGCTCCTAGATCACATCCCAGAGGTGGAAACCTCAGAAAGAAAGTAGTTAATGTACCGGGAGTTTCAGTCCTTCTTTGCTGGCTTGTAAAACCATGCCTTTTGCGTTCAACTTTCCGCTAAAATGTCATCAGCGCAAAAACGTCAGAGTTCTTTTGTGGTGTAATCTTAAGTATCACTTTTAGTGGTATATAAGAAAAATGCAGCTGTCTCTTCCAGTGCAAGTGGAGTGAAGAAAAACAGTCATTTGTGGCTAATTGCTTGAGTTTTCCAAACAATAACGTTCCTAGGAGAGGAAACCGTGCTGACGCATCTCTAAGACGTTTACCGCTCATGGACTGAAGTGAGCTAACACGAATCTGATGACAAATACTATCCATTTGATCATGGTATGGAGTGACCTTGTAGCCTTCAAGCGAGATTACGTCCTGTCACTGAGGCCGATCGGGATGGTTAATTGATCAACCACTGGCCGGAAGGCCACGTCTTCAAAACTCGCTAGGAGTCAGTGAGATGCGCACTGTTGATGATTCCCATTAAGAATGAAACAACTGCAGACCGCTGCTCATCATTCCGCGTAGAATGGCTTCAGTGACAGGATGAAATATCTATTGAAGGTCCTCTGTCTGCTGGCTCTTCAGTTATTTGTCCAGCTATGCGTACCAGTATCAAACGACCGGACAGTTGGTTGGCCATCTGTTCCAAAAGTTGTTTGTGGAGCTGCTTCCGTCTAAATCTTTGTTCGTCGATTGATTCTAGGAATGGTGATTGTTTTCTTTTTGAAAACCTTCACTTGTTTAAATTACTCGCTCGTTTTATGATATCACGGGTATCCAACTAAGCGTTTTCTGAAACGTCGCTCACTCCATCTTCTCTAGCGCGGTCAAGTGACATTGATTTTAATCGCCTTCGGACCCATCTATCAATGCTGAATGAGAAAGCCGTTTGACACCTATCTGTTTTTAAATTCAAGGGGTTTCTAATTGTAGCTACCAAAACTTGCGTTTCATTTTTTGTTCTGGTTTCGGTTAAACAGACTCCAGCGAATCATTTTCCGTAACTGTTTCCGATAGTGTGATTGATATTTGCGTGTTTAGACATGATCTATGGCTGCTCAATTCTTGATCCTTTAATCTCTTTCCTACTGACAGTAAACGTTTGACTTTGTTCGCGAACATCAAACAGATGTGGCATTCATAAATTTCACATTTTTGTTGTTAGTTCATTCTTCATTCGAAGGCTGTTTTCGATGTTGTTATTCAGGTTGAGTTGGTTGTTTATCATTAAATCAACTGAATGCTTGTGGATGCCTTAAAATGCGATATTTTGCGTGCTCACTTGTCCCGCTTGGCATTTGTTTGCCATCCTACTTTGTCTCTACTGTATGCTGCCACACAGAGGCGTATGTGTAGATTTCCGTGGTGAATAAACCTTTTGTTGCATGAAAGAACAGAATATAATAAATCCTTCGTTATGTTTTCTGCACATATTAATTTGTGGTCGTTTCGCTTTTGATCCGTCCCTTAGTTCAGCATGCCCGTGCGTAACACTTCTGGGGGGGTGCATTTTATCTCTATCATATTTCATGCCGTACCTAGAATCTGGTGCCTGTATAAACCAATCAGCTCGGTGCGATGAAATGTTCTGGGGTCAGGTATATACATATTATCTCTGAATCGGAGAATGAGTGCGACACCAGAATAACTGGTCCTCCAATGACGGATGCATTTATTAAGGAACACAGCATATTCATAACAGCGCTTCGTAGCCTAACCGGCGCTTAGTGATACCATTTTAAAAGAACGCTGCGTAACTTCCCAGAAAGTGGGACCAGTACACATGGGCCTCTCCATCTGTTGACAGTCGCCAAGCTCAATGATGCAATGCCTATCCATAAACAGAGTACTGTACAACTAGCTTTTTTATTTCATTTCACCTTGAAGTATTGGGGCTTGAATGCAATAATTATCAAAAAGGCAAGGCAGATGCAGGTCAATGTTGACAGTCATATCAAGGTGTGTGAATTTCGCGCCTGTAATTTGATCCCGGTAAGCCAAACAGCAATCTTCACTAGAGATGCAGATAATTTCAATTAATTAAATTGCACAGGTGATTAAGACCCAGGTAAACCCAGCAGACGATAGTAACACGGAAGGCACATCATCCGAGATGTCTTCACTGAGATGCAGCTACGCTACAGACCTTGACCCTTGGCAGTCAATCCTGACTTTGACCGTAGTACAACTATCTGGAAGCATCCTGGATCTCTGGATTATGTTAACAGTTGGCTACTGGATCCTGCAAGATGGAATAATGACTTGTGGTTGTAACCAGAACTAGTAATACAACTCAGGCAATTTACAAGTTAAAAATCACCTGAAAGTGTCATCACGAACAAACTCACAAGGAAGGCCAAATGGGCCATGTGCCCAGCCTGTTAAATTTTCATATCGGTCTGCATTGCATGATGTTCAGTCATTCAATATCATTCAATCTACTTGGACCGTAAAACTTCAGTCATTCATCAAATACGGTTACTTCTTGCATATCAGTTCAATTGAAGCATGAGACGCAAGGGCATGAGCAGCATATTCATTGAAGGACATTGTAAAAAGTGATCCAATTGAATTCGGTTGAGTGTCACGTTAAAACGAAGCTGCTATGCAAATCAGATTACTTGGAGAATCTCTTACGGTTTGGGTTCAAGTAGAACATAAGTTTCAAGGTATCTCAGTGACTGCATCTAGCTGGAAGACCTCAAGAAGGATGAAGCCGGTCGTGGGCCATCAAAAAGTTTCCAACAACCCAATGAGTAGTATTCGTTCAAGAAAATACATGGCAACTGCTCGGAAATTTTAACAAAACCTGAGTTGGCGTTTGCGCCAGACATCCAGTTTTGTCTGGTCAGCTTACCATTCCAGTGGTCTCACATTGAAAACCAGAATGATACTGTGTCGACGCGATCAAATTTGAGCACCATTCCACAGTACAGTGAGGAGAATCGAGCTTATAATCAACACCGATGTCCATGGCCTGATATTTGTGAGTCTGACCACGAGGATAGCAGAGAGTTTAGAGCAATCATCCGCTTGTAGTACAGTACTCAGATTCCCGGCTGGTTCGACGCACTGGATGTAACCAAGAGAACCGTTGAACCGACCTCTATTACCCATTTTTTCATGGGATTTCTGCTCATGCCCGGGATAATGTTTCTTATTCGGCTACGCATTGAATGCCGAAGGTAAGAAGATACTAGTAAGTGAGTTTATTTCGATTCTCGGCGCACGCTTGGTTTCTCATTGTGTGGCCGAACTCCACATGGGATGTCCCTGACGAAGTAAACCAGGCTTGTGTTAAGAAACATGGAATTGGAAATATCGCTTTGGATCTAAATGGACTCAAAGTAGAATAGTAAAGAAACTTAGACGCACTACAACACACGAAAATAAACAAAAAAAGTGAATATTTTCGAAGTGGATTTTCGGGTAACTGTGTGGAATTCTGTCTGTCTCTCTCTCTCTCTCCTAGCCAATGCCCGATCCTGGTTATGATATCACATGTGCCAAAATAAATTTCAGGATAAATGAAGATTTTGATGGATTCGCTTTGAAAAAAAGACTGGCTAATACGAAAAACGCACAAATGGCGCAAATCAAATCTTTGTAGCGAAGCAACTGAATAAGTCCGTTTTGAGTAGATGTCCACAATTTCTGTCGAAGATTGGCGAGGTTATGTACGAGTTGTCCTGTAGAAAAATTCAGAATAAAAATTGTCTTTTATCACTGACTTGCCAGAAAAATAGTTTTTTGTGACTTCAAAATTTTTGTACAACTTTCAAGAATCTATTACATTGATAACGAATGGAATAAATCATACTCCTAGGAAGGTTGATGTCCTTCCACTGGGTGGTCTTCCTCCGTGATAACCTTATTTTTATGGACTATAGTAAATGATTAGACCATCAAGGTGGGTCTCTACAAACGTATACCTTTGAAAAGTACTTAGCGGGAAACACAGTTAAGTGTATGGTCCATTACTTTGACTTTCGAAATTTCCCACGTTTGTTCTGTCCCCTTTTGTAATCCCCGCTCCACTTCTGCGTTTAGTACGTGTGTAGGAACTGATGTTTGTTTGCCCTTACCACTTCAGTCATTTGGCCTTGAGGTCACCTAGCCGTATTGTGGCCGACCCTATGCACGTGTAACTGTCTCATGTGCGAGCTTGTTTGCTCATTTGGTTCGTAGTTTTGTAGTTCAAGTGAACCATTTGTTACGGACGAGTATCTACCGTCTATGTTTGCATATTTTGCGAATTTACGTCTTACATTAATGGCACCGTATAGAAAGCTAGTTCCTACTTGGCTTTGCCTTCTCGGAGGTTTTGGAATCACGCATCCTTCGAAGATGCCGTTCGCCCGTTACACTGAGTTTCTCGTCAAATCCAAAACACTCTGTAAATGGCTATGAGACTATAAAATGCACGGAACCATTTAGGCTCTAACTGCAGTACCAGGCTCCAGAGATAAAATAAGGTTGCTTATGGCCAAAGACCTCAACTGTTCACAATACAGTCGTTCTTATTTAGCGCTGACTAGTTGACGAATGGGGTCCACCAGACTTCGGGTCAAGAGGACTGCAAGAAACAGTAGTATTTTCAACAGGGCACTTTTGAGAGAGACAAAAAGTCATAGGTGTATAGCATCACGGAGAAAAATTCAGTTCTAATAGATACGTAGACCAAGTTGAATGATGTGTGAGGGTATGAACTACTTATTAACTACTGTACATGAAATGAAACACATCAATCTTTTTTTCAACTCGTAACCATGTACAAAGGCATTTATCGGAAGTTCATTTTGTTTGACGCTGAGAGAAGCATACAGGGCAAATATCTTCCGCAAAACCCCTCGCGTCTTTTTGTGGTACTGCCCCTTGTCTCGAACGTTTCATCCGCCGGATGTCGTTATAGCTGAACCGGCCGTGTTAACGACGTCGGGAACATAGATCAGATCCCACGAATTGGACAGATGAGATGGCTCTAAGAACCTAAAAGTCAGAATAGGGCGCCGTTCAACGTTACCTTACAAGATTCCATCCGTTTTACGGTTTGTTCCCCATTGAAAAAGGCTGGATGTGCTCTCTCACTTGAAATTCCGGGGTCTCTTGTGGAACCAACTGCGAAGGTCGCTCTTGAAATTCGAAAAATGCACTCACACACCAATTTGTTATCATGGGAGACTCAGCTGGATCCAAGCTGATTCTCTCATTTATGATGTTCTTTAACTGAATGTTCTGCACTATGCCCTTGATGTTTCGTTTGGCTAGATGTGCAGTTCCGGAGTTTCTCTTTAGTCAACTGAAAATTGCAGAAAATTTGGGGAATACACTCAAATGCATATCAATTTGGTTTTCACAGGAGACTCACCTGAATTCCAGGTGAATATTAATACTTTGCTACATTTATTACTCTTGACAATTTAATGCTAGTGTGATTTTTTTGGTTCCATCCAGTGACTGATAGTAGTCATACCCGTTTTTATCAGAATGCACTGAAATCAATTTTCCCCTGTGTGAAGTGCACTCATAGGTATTATGACTTTGGTTTATGGAGATGCTATGTTTAGTCATAGATATAGCGCACCCTCGTCAATCCAGAAAGCCTAGTTACAAGGAACGAAACCTATGAGAATGACATCTTTACTAATTGCCTTCTTTTAAAATGGTACTAATGCCTTGCTTATTCTAGATTGATTCCATTCAGCTCAGGACGAATATTACTTAAACAGGTGCTCACTGAGTTGTCCATCAGTTTTCAGTATGTTTGCATTAAACTCCCCAAAACCTTATATCGTGCACTGAAACAGTGCGATACGTGGTCAAGGATGCTTCGTTGATCAGACTCACAACTGTTCCTGATCCGCCCTCGATAAATACGATTCTCATGGATCAAACTCGTATTGCTCAGTTGTCCCAGTTTTTATTGCTTTCTGTTGTGCTTCAGATCGTCGATACGAAAAACAACAGTTTATTTGAGACAGTCACAGGATTGTTCGCCAGACAATTTGGTCGTGTTTAATGAAATACAACAAGGGAGGGGAGAGACTTTCGACGTAATTTGCTGTGTGAAGAATACCTGCAAATGTGTCAAAAACGACAGGAGTTTACTGTAAGCTTTGTGAAGCGAGGAGAGATGGAATCTGCTTAAGGAGTGCATAGGCAAACAAATTTTAAAATATAAAACGGTTTCTTTGTTATGCATTTGGAAGTCAAGCATGGTCAGAGCATACTTCAGATTTCTCGCATTCTAAAAAGAACAACATAAATGCATCCTTTGGGTGACCACAGTGCTTGTGAGTTTCGGAGCTCAGTGAGTAGAAGGTCATACTCTTGTGATTACGAGCTGAAGAAATGGATGCACACTGGTGATGAAGGTCAATCTGAATGATTCGGTTTGTGCAGTCGTTCTTGGACGCCAAATGCGAATTTCTGCTTCGTCACAGTCTCATTGGTGGAATTTTTGTAGTTCTGGATTTCATAGCCATGGTAAGTGAACCAGAATGAGGACTATAGTCCATGCTTGCGTCAAGACAATGAACGATTGTCCTCCTTCGTCGTTCTGTGCTGTGCGGCAGTTCCTAGTGTCTAATTAACTCGTCAGCCGTTTTTTTACTGGAGAGTCATGAACACATATGGACAACAATTCAGCCAAAAACATGTGAAACATATTGACAGCGTGTGTCACCAAAAAAATAATCGCTCTAGTTATGCGAATGAACCGCAGAGAGGAATAGGAGTCATTAGATGAAACGCCTACATAATTTATTGAAAAATGTTCAAAAACGCTGCAGTTTGGTCAGCAATGATAGACACTCTCGCACACCATGAACTGTGCCGGTTAGTCGACATAATCTGAATCTCACATCCTTGCTGTTGACAAGACAACTTTTGGGAAACCTATGTACAGCACTAACCTTAGAAGGTCATAAATTCGGGAAAAAATCTACTCTGATAAATGGAAATTCGGACGACCCATATTGAACGGAGAACAGAAAACCAAGAAAAAAACGGCATTTCGTGTGATAACGAAACAATTTTCACGGAAGATCATGTGGAAAAAACAAGATCAGTCGTGAATCCAGCCTCATCCAACCGGGGACGAGAAACAGCCAACAGATGTAGGACGCCAAAATTATGTCCAACTGATGAACCGGCCATATGTCTCAAATTTACAAGGGACGCATGCCAATGTCCTACTCGGAAAGAAGACGAGCATTATATGGTGGCGTTCGGCAGTGTGTACAGTGATGACTGGCATCCAGTTCAGACTTGCTCGTCACTAGCCATTAGATTCTCGGAGCGCTGCTACGAGCGTAGGAATCCGATGCGAACAATAACAGATGTGGAAAAGCCAGATGACGATGATCGGCAAATGACGATGAGGTGGGTAGGTAGTCCTTGCCGTCATCCGGGAAAAGTGCTACATCCCAAACTTATAAGGGCCTATTAGTGCATAGGTGAGGATGGCCATAACACAACTCAGAAGGTATATGCACTAATAAAAGTCTTTACTGTGACTGACACTAGTTCGCACAAGCGATTTGCAGCATGTATAAAATAAGGGACAATATAAAATGTGGAGCAAGTCAACAGGGAACTTATCGTATGTGAGAGTCCCTTGGTGAAAGTCCGGACGGTGGGAACGTGTTTTCTCTGCAGTCTTGCTGCTACACGTGTTCCATGGTTGTCCGTGGACTTGTGGAGAGGTTGACTTCCTGCTCTCTGCGCGCGCGCGAATCTGTGTGCTGTATATATGTAGGTCCGTTTGCGCGTACGTGGGCGTGTCTGCACGTGAGTGGTTGGTACGCTCACTAGACGGTGCAGACAATCGACGTCCGATGAGTCACCTTAATGTGACGTGGTTGTGGGCATGAGAAAGAGACAAGTCTCGTGATCCAGTGAGTGACTGTGGCCTGAACAGTCAAGTGTGTGGGTGACTGGGTCGCTACAGGCCTCAAGTGGTTCTGGTTTTAGGTTCCCGAGTTATCCGTTCGTTTCTATTGTCTTCTCATTTTTATTTTGTATTCAATGTACTAAACTTGGTCGAATCATTTTTAACCCTGTCGTTGTATATAATGTTATGCGTATTTCGTTGAACTATATAAAATATTCCTGCCGTAACAGTGAATATTCCCTACTGGCTGACACCGGTTAGCCGCATGTACGCTTCGAGGTTGCATCCACCGGAATGCATGTGTTGTGGGTCTTAATTTGACTTAGCAGTCCATCACGCCGATAGCCTTAGAAAAGTTCTACCTTTTTGCTCCCTACTCTTATTCCTCAGGGCCTACATCGCCCTCAGAACTTTCAGCTGGTTGTCTATGCAGATTGGGGTAAACCTAGGGTGTGACAAATTCTGGACACGTGGATACTAGCATAATTTGCTACTGTTCAGAAACCCGAAAAATCAAGGATTGTCCCGTCAGGACCAGTGTGAAGCTCATCGGCCTGCCAAATACCGGTGCGTGCGTTCCTGGATGGTGATACCCGCTTGCTGAAAAAATTTAAGTTTTAGCGCCGCAACCACCTAATAAATGGTTCGGACAGGTAGATCGTGACTGCTTCATTAATTATCTTAATTATGTTAACAAGTGCGTCTTCGGCATAGTATGTAATGCATATGTCTAGATGCACTTAAACTACACATAAACACTTGAGAAAGCCTAAAAATCTCAATATGAGGCAGAATAACTCTGGACTACGTAAAATAGTTGATTCGTTGTGCCATTCAATTTAGGTTGGCTAGTGCAGACAAAATTCTGTTTTGTGGGTATCTGGCGATTAGTGCCCACCTGTGAGTTAGTCAGAGGTAGGTTGATTCCTACTCAGGTACTGCTTATCTGATTTGTTACGGATTGATGTTTATCAGTGTGATGCTTTGCTTCTCGTCAAGGTGAATTACTTCATTGCTGTCTAACAAAGCTAACCAATGCTGGGAAGTTAATGTCACTAGTGTCAGATTCTGTGAAACGAGCACCGGACACCGTCCACAGCTGCTCTCGGAGAAGTTTCTTTTTTCACGATGAATGCTCATGAAACACAACTGGAAGTAGCTTTAATGAGCTACGCATTAAAAGGGGATAAAATGTTTGTTTCCATTTGAGGTAAGAGATTTCATCATTTCGATAGAACATGGTCATCGTACTAAATCATCGTATCTTACTAGCCTGTGCGCCACGTAATCGGTATATCAAGACAGATCAATGACATATGACTCGTGTTCGAAAACTCCATTTAGGGCGTCGTAAGCTCTCAATCAGCTAAATCTCTCTTACTAAGTGGAACATCCATCTCCAAGGCCAGAAAGCTTGCTCTTGTCTTTTTGCGTTTAACAAGTATTTTATGACACTCACCATTTAAATCATTCTTATACGGTACAATGCGGCCCAAAATGAACACACGTGACACGGCTAGGCAGACTGGCAGACTTTCACGCCGGAAAATCGATAAACCATAATTTGACATTGTTAAGGTTATGATCAATTGTCGTCCAAACGAAAACGCATTCCGATGAACGCCTACATTTGAAAGCGTCAACAATTCGCTCAGCGAATACTGATCTCTATGATGGGACTACCTGGGATGAAATTCATCCCAGTTAACGGTTTAATTGTCATGCCCACAGACATTGTTGTCGCAGATTTTCTGAATGCATGAGACGAGGGATAAACTTACAAATGTCCAACAGTGTGGCTGAACGAACGTACATAGTAAACAAGTCAATAATTTACGCACGACAAACGTGACTGATTTCATTTGTCCCACCGTCCTCTTGACTGGTGAATACGACTCGAATTTCAAACCGCCAGTGTTGTCATATTGTACATGGGCATATATCAGTCGGATTTTGTCTTCCCATTGTGCGTCGGGTAGGTATTTAAACTAGCTACATCACAGCCGAAACCAAGCCTAGTCTTGCACAGTGGGTCCTTCCATCAAGCAACAACCTGAATTCGGCAGTATTTTTGAATTTACTACCGTTTTCCGGTGAAATTCGGATGAAAAATAAGAGATGTGCTGTTACACCAGACGATAAAAATGAGGCAGCGTCCTAAGGGGTCAAAAACTCCAATCGGAGGGATGCTGTATCGTCAGGTAGCCCATTTATTTTTGCCAAACATCTCTGACTGTTGACTGCGACTCACATGCTTGTGGGATAGCGAGACAGCTCGTAGCCAAGAGGTTGAAGACACTAGAGTTTAGTGAGTTGTGCACTACTGATGATTCCCAATGAGGATAGAACAGCTGTAAATTGATTCATGGCTTTTCAAGATTGGCTTCACTTACAAAACAAAATATACACCAAAAACAACAAGTTCAGTTTGCTATCGTGTTGGTACATAGTTTCACGTTGGAAATTTTTTGAAGCAAACTGCCGGATAAGCATTAGGTGCACTTCCAACGAATTCACATCATCTCAGTCCCATGTATGACTTCGGGTTGAACTGTTTCACAGTATCTGAGTTTGTGATTCGGAGTGCGTGCTTGCGTAAATTTTAGGGCTCCCTGAGTTTACTTCAGCTTTCTCGACTGGGGATAAGTCAGTTTCCTAATCGAGGCCTAAGCGAAATCGGAGCTTTGAAGTATTGTTCGTCGGAGTACCTGAAGAACAATAATACCTGCGGTGCGGAAAAAGAACCCTACTGATAGAAGGACTCATCCATACTCTCAAATCGGCAAGTCCTGATTGCGCGGAGGTTGCCTCAAACTGATTAGATTAGACGCGGATCATTAGATCTTATATCCATCGAAACTGTGGTTCTGTGCACCGCCCAAAAAACAGAGCTCGTCTTGGTGGGATGTGAAACTAAGGAATTAAAAGCATAGACCTACATGCTCTTGATTAGGCCAGAAAAGAATTAGCGATTACTGACAAGATTTTTCCGGGAATTCGTAATCTGAAAAAGGAATAATAAGGAATAATAATAAAGGGAATAATAAGATAGACTGTCGTTCATTAAGTTGAATTTCTCATCTACCTATTTGTACCAACGAAATTTTGTACTGATAGAAAGTGGAATTGTTGCCGGGAGATCTCTAACACCAATTGGAGGCACTCGGTCCTTATGACTTGAATTTGCCACTCAACATAATGCAAAGACGACATTTTCTGGATGTCAACCCGTCGACGTTTTCAAAATGCATCACGTGAAAGATCACCTACTTCATGTCTATTATGTTGCGCTTTCACGTTTGGTGGGATTTGAACAAATCAGTCGATTAATGTTGTGCATCCGGGCGTATATCCCACAAAACTGGGCTGGACGTTTCGGATCATCCTATGACCGTTCCCTTTGATGGGTTCTTGTAAACTCCAGAACAAAAAAGGACAAACACACTGTTCGCCGGAAAATCCAGCCGGCTTGCTCGATCAAATAGGGAGCGAAGTTCAATCTGGAAGGGACAATTTTCTTCGGTCCATCCATGACACCACTAAGGTCCTGTTTGGGTAGAAAACCCCACAGAAAATTGAGTGGATTTATATCGGCGTACGGTAGCGGTCCCGGTACAAAGGTTGCCGAAACACGATTGGTATGTTGAGGAAACCTGACGTCTATCTTCCAAATCGGCTGACCGGTTGGACTAGACATTCATAACCGGTGAACAAAGGACAACATGTGAACAGAATGTTCACAACTGACCCAGTTTTATCAAGTTATCCCAAAACAGTACTCATGGTCAGTGAGTTACATTAGGAAGTAAGCTGATTGGTTGAAAGCGCTCCATTTCCTCTTCTTTGAGAGAGCTTTCATAGAGTGTTCATCAACCTTATACTTGGCATCATACTGGGGAGTATTATTTTGAATCGATTGGTTCAGCAAGTTACCTGAAATGCGTTCTGGCGATGTTACGGAATATGGACAGCACAAGTAAGCTGTTTGGTTGTTGGTTTGTTCACAAACGTTTGAAAACCTCTCATCGCCAATTCAGGTGATGTCGTCAGCGCCGGGTTGAGCGGGCCATTCGTTCCTTACTTCTTGTGTAATTACTGCTCGCTATCAGTCGACGCAATTATACAGCGGAATGGTCTATGGAGAACAATTTACTGTATGCTTCGTCTTGATTGAGACTGATCAGGTGAATATGGCAAATTTAGTTAATCTGATTTTCTGATTCAAATTTCACGTTCAACCCCTACACTAACCATAGTTGTGAGGTAGGCTCGTAAACATTTAAGTAGCTTGTCTCTGACTGAACCAGCAATAAATCCACCGATTGTTTACCAAACTCCTCTGAAACGATGACTTCCCAATCGGTCCCAAACATTTTCCAATTGATTGAATGTCGAAAGCTGTTTAGTAACCCTGTAGATTTTAAGGGGTCATCGGGAAAATGTAACAAAACAGTGGCATCTTTGTAGGGTTGGAAAATCCTAGATGAATCCCCTAGGAACCGAATTTGTTCAGTTGAAGCTGTTTTTAGTTTACGCTTTCTTCGTAAAACGTTTTGGTGATACTGTTTTGCTTTCCAAGCAATCGACCATTCTTAATTTGACTACATGGGTTTCCTCATCTAACTCACTGATAACTTTTCTTTATTTTAGTGTGAATGAGCGGAAACCAGAATGGCTTTATAAATGCTCCCTACCGTGCACTTGCTAGAAAAATAAGCGTATATGGAGAGGTGCTGTACACGATATCCTAACGGCAATTTATTGGACACGTGACTAGTCTGAAGGCTTGTCCACAAACGCAAGCTATTTTGAAGAAAGCCTGTCATCTCTAAGCGTTTTGACGACTAGTGACAAACAGGAAGTGACAGCGTTAAATTATGGGCTAGTTGCCTGAGACCAAGTCCTAAAAAGTTGTAGCATTCGCTATTGTGACCATATTCGTTTATGTGAAATCAGAACTGGCCTGCTGTTCAAGCATACTTGACGGATACTCCTGATTCTTCCAGAAAAAGAAACTAGTTTTCGTCTGTGTGAACATAATCTTCAAAAAGGTGTTTGTAGTTTTCTTACTTCCTATCTAATCATTGATGGTATTTTCTTCAAACTTGAAAAACACATATAGGACTTCTTGTCCTGGTGAGATGATTGCACTCAGGTGATCGGGATGGCACTGTCGCTCGCAGAAACGCGTTTGTTGAAGTTCACGTCCTCATACTGGCAATCTCAAACACGTGAGCTCCTGCGTATCGATCTCTCTTCCATTCGTGACGCCATTACTCCGCGGAAGTATAATGGTTATTTTGTTCGTTCTTTGTTTACTTCGTCAGTACCATTACTTCGAGCTTGCGTGCAGGAAAGGCAGGTCACAAACCAAATAGCTTGCCTCTCCTCCCACCTCCCGCCATACAGATGGGAATACAACATCATCAGCCATTGGATCATCTAGAAGGTGAAATCTCCTTTGCCAGAACTTACTCAGACAAAGAGTAGGTTCTGCCTTAGTTACCTATTCAATTATGTGGATTTTCCCATCAGCCAACACATGAATGCGCTCGTTAACCAATATTTTGGTCTGAACTTCTAAGCTTCTGATCCAAAGCAAAAGTAACAAATATATCACTTTCTTGACTTAGTTAATGTTACTTTCTGGTTGATGAAAAACCTTGTTACCCAAAGGGCTGTTTTAAAGGTCGCTGCTTCTTTTGAATAAATTACGTTGTTTGTTTCATCCCCCAATACAGTTTTCCGATGGTTTTACACAGATCTGCGGGTCTCGAATATTTTGGCTGGTAAGAATCTCAACTGCCTTCTTAGTTCGCATTATTTCGGTCGGTTGGTTTGGTAGAATACAGCAGAACTCTTTGGAACGAACACTTACAATGAATATCCTACTGGATTCCATCGAGCTATACAGAGAATCTCCTGTGGCAATGGATTTTATCAAATTTTACATCCATCAGGCCAAGCCATTATATGGCCCTTCCAGAAACTGTGCTGCTGCGGTAACGTCTCTGTTGCTTTCATCTCCTGAGACGAATCATGTAATCCGCACACGCACAACCGCTATTATGGCAGGATTAATAAACGCCATCTCGGACATCCTTACCATATTGGTAACATCCGTCCCGTTTGTTCGTTCTACTGAGGTTCTGCTCTATCCTGCAGTTTGCCATCGTTTTGTAACAGTAGAAGGTTCTACATAAACTCCACTGTTTACTCCTGGAAAAGTGCTCTGAACCCTGACTTTTGTGGGGCTGCCATTTCTCTAGTATGCCTTGTTGTATGTTTGTTTGTGTGGATATTGTCGCTCTGCGTACTAGGATAATGAGTGCGCACATGGCATCCCAACATGCAGAGAAGCTAATGGTTTTGGTCTCCTAATCCGCTTCATGTCCTCGTGATACGGGAGCGCCCGCATTCATCAACTGAGTGTCTGCCACGATTCATCAGTTTTACGCAACACAGTCCATTTGTCTTCAGGTATTATGGCGACATTTGTGCATAAGTACTCGTATACGGAGCCGTAAGCACTGGATGGTTAGTTCATGGTTAGTAGCGCAAATCCAGAACGAACTATCAAAATGAGCTCTATTCCACCGATGCATATCTGAGATGATTTCGTGGTGACGGAACACAGACTGTTTTCATATCCTCTTTGTATGTCACACTAATACCAGTTATCCGCGACAGCTTGGCACTTCTTCCTATAACCTGACAGCTTTACTAGCTGACAGAATTTTTGAACTCCGGCGTCCGCATATCAAAAGTCTAATTGGTGGATATTTTGCTCCTCGATGGACCACTGACATAGTGGCTCGTGAAGCAAGCAACGCGTATTCTGGTGCGTCCTCCACTGTGTGCCTACCTGTGTGCGCCAGTCCGTCTTGTTTTGCGGTGTTGTTCTGTCGCCTGTTGAGGGGACACAACTGCACATGAGCTTCATTAGGCCTCATCTAAAACAAAAACTTCAAGTGGTGAATGATACATGGACAAACAACTTGACCTATCCCGGAAGGCAGCAAACGGGAAAAACTTTTCGATGGATCCTATATTCAGGACTGGCTGCATTCTACTTTGTAAAATACTATCCACAATAAATTCAGAAAGTATCACGTAGCCAACTGAAACCAATTTCGTGGTATTTATAGGTGCCCGCACTCCGTGGTAAGAATCTTGGTGTTATAACGAACAGAATCTAATTCTCTCTGGTTGTTGAAAGATTGTCCTGGTGATTAAATGCACTGCCTTAAGTGGCAGTGGTTTGGATTCAACAATATGATGACTGCGAAAAATACCCACAAACTGGTGAGCAAGTAAGAGGGTGGTGGGTTGAACAAGACTTGCTTGTTGTGCTGCCCAATCCAGTCGATGTAAAATCCAGTAGATACACGAACCATGAACAAAGTTACACCTGACCTACTGGGACCTAGTTTCCACAAGGTAGCCACAGTATCCTCTTCAGTGAAAACGGTTCCTCGCATGTTGGTTTATTCGATACAACCCACAACAAAGGGTGCAGCAAGATGCTTTTATTTGCGCACGAATTCGATCTTGACAGGAGAATCGTACCGGCTGAATCGCTTGTTTATAATGGTCGGAGAGTTTTCAGCAACTTTATGAACAATGTGTTACGTCTGAAAAAATCAACGCCACATTTGTACAAAACATTGTTTCTGATTTATGAGCCATATTCGACTGTATAGTCTACTTGTTTTTCAGACTCTTTTGACCGAAACATTATCCATCCCTCATTAGTTGCTTGACGGCATGAAGTTCCATTATGTGATGAACATCACTTTCAACATACCCCACTTAACAGGTCCGAACTAGGCAAGAGTTTCCAGTTTTAAAACAGTCTATGTGCTTTCAGCTCCCTTAGTAGGGATTCATTTAGGTTCCTGAAGCCTGTTGCTCTAGTCGGAGCCTAAAAGCCAACTTCTCAAAGGAATACGATAGTTCTGGGTTACGTTTCCATGTGACTGAAAGAGGCAAATTCTGGTTGTT